AAATACACTTATGTTCTTACCTGCCGACACAGATAATCCACTATTACTAGATACTGAAGCCAAATAAGCGAAAGCTTCTTCTTTTCCATTCAGAAGTATTTAGAACAAAACTTGAGGAATCCATATGGTGCTCTGTAAGATTGTCTAGTACTTCGAGGTGTCTAATCGGAGTCATTTACAGGAAACCAACTGCCGACATCGAGTACGATAGTCATATGCTGGAAGGACTATCCCGCTCTACCCGTCTCGGTTTCACACACATCCTGATTCTAGGGGACTTTAATCTCCCTAGGGTCAACTTCGCGGAACACACGTACACTGGATGCGACAACTCAATTGAAGATCGGTTCTTCAACCTCATCGATGACTTAGGCTTATATGAAAATGTGAGGTCGGCAACTCGTTGGAGAAACAGTCAAACACCATCGCGGTTAGACTGTGTATTCACAAACGAAGAATTCCTAGTTGACAACCTCTCAATCCTGGCTCCTCTTAGAAAGAACGACCATGCCGTCATAGCCTTCAGTTTTGTCATCAAAACTAAGCTAAGGTATCCGAACAATAATTTGCGTTGGAATTTTAAACGGCTGAATGTGCCAGCTCTACATGACTATCTACAATAGGTGGTTTGGGATGTTCACCCTCAACTCGATGTGGACGGTCATTGGGACTTCTTACTGCACACACTCTTTTGTGCTACAAACCATTCAGTTCCTTAAACGGTTCACAAAAGCTGTAAGCCACCTACAGTAATCAAGAACCGTACCCTTCGCCTACTAAGCCGCCAAAGGCACTGTTGGGTGGAATACAAACGAACTGACAACGACGGAGCGTATAGGCAATACAAACATATCAGGAACATATGCACGAAGGCTATAAGAGAAGACAGGCTTCAGTACCAGACAAAGCTTATGGACAAATTTGCCTCTAACCCTAGAAGCCTATTCCGTTATGCAGCCTCTCTTCGTCAAGCCAAAACAGGAGTTTCTCAACTGCTAGGTCTTAACGGCCCGACCAACAACGATGGTGACGCCGCTAACCTTCTGGCGGCACATTACTTTCAAACATTTCAACCGGCTGACATCAATTTTATTGACGACAGTTTCATCTGCAATTCCACAGGACTTTCCGAAGTGGACCTAAGCGCTGACTTGGTATTCCGGAAACTGCAGCACTCAAGACTAGATACTTCTCCTGGCCCGGATATGGTTCATTCTGCCATACTGAGGGAGGCAGCCTCAATCCTGGCAACGCCGCTTAGCGTGATGTTTTCACACTCGCTAATAATAATAATAATAATAATAATAATAATAATATATTTCTGCATGTGCTGGTACACACCATTTTCACAGTCATGATCTATAAATTAAAACATTTGTCGGTTCAGAAAATGTTTCCCGTCATATTAAGTTTATAGTTGTTATAAAGTTAAATCGTAGAGCGCTTGCTGTAAACTAGGTCCTTGAGAGGACGCGTACGTCAAGTTTGTTCCAAACGTCAGAAGTTTCATAGCTGTGCTCTCAAAGCAAGATTCTGAAGAAGAAAAAAGAGAAACAGAAGAGCAGCAAGGCACTTGGATATGAACGCCAAACGTTGCTTAACATTGTGTAGTAGAACGGACAGAGGTATAATAAATTAGAATAAATTCATATTATGTCTTGTTAGTGAGATGAAGTCAGAGGCTCCATATTAGAGAATGTACTAATAAAGAACAATGAGTTGTGATGTTTAACAAGTTGGAGTAAGCTCACATGAAGGAAGGGAAGTCAGGGTTGGTACAAGGGAAGAGGTTTATTAAAAGGGTGTGTATATAGAGGGTGAAGTGTCAAGAATACTAATGACTATATCTTTTGTTATCTAATTTTTTTTCTTGTTTTCTTTTTGTCTATTCGATACCAGCCACACAATCCTAGTGTAAAAGTTCGAGTTAGCATGTTATAGGTTGTCTTAGTAGAATAGCTAATCCAGCATAATATTGGAAACATGAGTCTGAGTGGTGAGCGTAGGAAGACAATCTATATCACAGATTGATCGACTTATTATCAACCATGAGAAGCCTGATACATACATAATGTTCTGTCCCCACAAACACGGGTGGATTGAAGTTATCGCCCTCACCATCAATGCTTGCTGGTCAGTAACTCCACCCTCCCTCCTTTTGTGATGTTAGGCTCATTTAGGCTTATTTTTGTATATACGTCATACCTCACACAATCCTCCGTTTCACGTCCTGTTGGGAAGCACTATTTTTATAAGTACCATTTTACAAGCTTATCAGGCAGTTACAAGCTATGGACTGTGGGTAAGGCATCGATGCTGTGCTTTTGTTGACTAGTATAAAGTATAGTTTGCCAATCAGAGTATAAGCATTAAGAAAGGTATAATGTAGGATGGTTGTTTATTAAAGCAGACGGAAAAGCATAGGAGTATATGAGTTGTAGATAAGGTAACGAGTAGAGAAATAATATTAATTGCTAGTCAACATGGTGTACAGAAGAGTAAAATGTTAATACAGGATAAACAGGAAGGAACTCACAGTAACTTGGTGCTGATGTTATTTTCTGTTGTCCTAACCAGTTGATCGGTAACAGGCTCCATAGATGTAAGATCACTGGTGGTAGGCAGCCGATTGTGCGGTCCTCTTGACGTTTTAGGGTGGTAGTGAGTGTCCATTATCGATCGAGTTTAGTTTAACAGTAATGATAGGTCCAGTGAGTTACCTGTCTACTTCAAGTAAAGAAATAGGGTGTAAAAAGTAATTAATACAACTTCAAAGTAGGAAAAATAAGGCAAACTGAACTTGAAGTCCATTTTGATTTTTGATCTAGACATGGAGAGAGAGCCTATGACGTCTGAGTGGGGCGCAGATGTGTTCGTACGTGCAAGATCAGTGCAAGTGAGGGCTTGATCACGCAGTTTTACAAACGTATGTAGTTCATCTGCCATGCGAGTTTCGGAGGGAAGACTGTTCCGTATTATTGCATACTTGGCGAGGAAGAAGTTTTCCCGAGTTTTTGATCTGTATTTCACAACTTTGACCGTAGATACTTTGTTTCGAAGTCCGTATTCATGTGAATCTCGAGCAAGAATTATCTTACATTTTGAATAAGTAAGGTTTTTGAGTAGTTTGAAGTAGAGAATCAAATTAGACCTAAGCCTTCTCTTCCAAAGGGGTGCTATTCCTAAGATTTGGCACCGGGAACTGTAGTCAATGACCGAGTCAATCTTAATTACTTTGCGGGTGAAGTCTCATTGTATTCCTTCCACCTTTAGTATATCAGATAGGCGTAGGTTGGAAAATAAGAACGAGCAGTATTCAACGATAGGTCTTATACAAACTATGTAAAGAAGGATTTTAGATCCATTTTGATAGAAATTACGGAGAATGAAGCCAAGCAATTTCCACGTTTTGGATGCTTTGGCTAAGATGTGTTCAGAGAAATTAAGACTGTGTGAGTAATCTACCCCTAGGTCAGTTACTGATGACAGTCTAAGCCGAGGCAAATTACCGGAAAATTGGAAGTTGGATCACATCACACCAATTTTCAAAGGGGGTCGACGTAATGAAACTTCAAGTTATCGGCCGGTGGCTCTTCTGTCATTACCTTCAAAATTCATGGAGTCCCTGATATGGTTTAAACGACTATCTACTGTCCTTAAATTTCTTCTCACTTCAACCACATGGTTTCAGGAAGGGTTACTCTTGTATAACCAACCTGCTGACTGCGGTGGACAGATGGACAAGCATCTTCGATCGCAAGGGAAAGTTTGATATCATTTACCTTGATTTCTCAAAAGCTTTTGATAAAGTTAACCACTTGTGTCTTATCAATAAGCTCAGACGACTAGGTATCAAACCACCTCTAATCGATTGGCTTACTTCATACCTAGAAAATCGACACTTTAAGGTTAGGGTTAATTACACTTTATCTCAGGCTATGGAATGTCCTAGTGGGGTCCCCCAGGGCTCAGTATTAGGGCTTCTTCTCTTCTTGATCTACATAAATGATCTTCCTCAACAGGTAACGTCAGACGTATTACTTTTTGCCGACGACGTGAACTTTGGAGAGAGATACGCAACCAAGACGATACACAAGCACTTCAGGAGGATCTGACTCGACTTCAAAGTTGGGCAGACGATAACGGACTTACCTTTAACACTTCAAAGTGTAAAGTAGTCCATCTGCGACATGTCTCAAACTACAGTTACAACTTAGGAAACTCCTCTCTAGTAGTATCCCAAGTCGAAAAAGATTTAGGAGTCCTGGTGCCCCATGATTTAAAGTCTTACGCTAATTGTGACAAAAATGCCTTCCGAGCAAACCTTGCACTGGTAACATTGAAGCGCATTTTTGGCCAGTTTGACGGAAGAACTTTCCATACAATCTTCAACAGTTTTATCCGTCCCCATTTAGAGTACGGAAATATAGTACTCCCCCCCTCACTCCAAAAGGACAAGGTCACGTTGGAGCGTATCCAACGGCGAGCCACGAAATCAGTTCGAGGACTCAAATCTAAGCCTTACGACGAACGCTTCCATTCACTAGACCTTTACCCATTAGAGTATAGGCGTCTAAGAGGTGATTTATTAATGGCTTATAGTATTCTTAACACTTCTGGACATCCTCTTAAACACCTACTTAAGCTTAGTTCGAATAATAACCTAAGAGGTAACACCCAGAAACTGGAAACTCAACATAGCAAGACGGAATGTAGACACAACTTCTAATCCTTAAGAGTTGTCAAAAGCTGGAATTCGCTGCCAGCCGAGCTAGTCGAAGCGACTTATCAGGAGTCCTTCAACAGGCAACTTGACCTATTCTTAAGGACCAAGGACAGTATCACACAATGATTTACCAATTTCTTTTCCTGTTTTATTGTTAACATACCTAGGTTCCTGCCTGGAGGATTTGGTGAACCCCTGTTACTAGACACGGAAGCCTGTTAAGCGAAAGCTTCTTCTATTCCATCCACAACCATTTGAACCATTTGAACCATTTGTTAAAGACCGGGAAATGTCAAACTTGCGGTACGTCCGTTTGATTGTAAGATTTGGAATATATTAGTCACTTCTTGTATTTATGGATATTGTGACTTGTAATTTAATCTATATTTGCACATGTTATTCTCAAATGGACACGTTAAGTGACACATTTTCTTACTTTTGGAGTATCTCTAATATGTTTGTGAATGTTAATACCACCTCAGTCCAATTGCACCTCACGTTCTGTATAATCGCTACATCGGTCACTGGAACTTTGACCGTACAATGCAGTCGTAACTCGGATTTATAGTAAAAGTAGCTAGTATGGCACTTCACACACGGAAGTAGTGTAATTACACTACTTCAAGTTTTAAGGATTGAATTGAACGTAGTTTAAATTTAGCTAAGGTACTAAGGTCATAGAAACAACTTTATTTTTTAAAAACTTAATCAGAAATTCGAATCATGGGTTTAGTTGCAATTATCCCTCTGTTTTTCTATTTCAGACAATAAGAACGACTTTCGTCAACTTGCAATGGTTTGTTCGCCTGGTTCCCAAAGATCTGTAAGCCGAAGTACAGCTCGCACTCATAGCGCAAGCCGAAGTCGATCTAGGAGTGGCAGTATTCGGCGAAGTTATACACATTCGAATCGTAGTCGATCAGGAACCAGATCATTTTCCAGACGCAGTTCCCATTCACGTCGGAGTACTAGGTCAAAAAGTCATTCCAATTATTCTCGTTCACATTCTGGCAGTCGACGTTCCAGGTCATGGTCTAGATCACGTTCACGTTCTCATGGTCGGTCCGCTTACTCGTCACGTTCACGTTCTGCTAGTCGTTCCAGATCAAGATCTTATCGTAGTCGGAGAAAGTCGTTTTTTAGAAGTAGAACAAGAAGTTGTTCGTATCACTCAGTTCGTTCACGATCACACAGCCCCAATTCAAGAAACGTTTCACCAAGCGCCAAATGTATCAAAGATCCGAGGGATCGTTCTAAGCGTGCACATTGGACAAATAATGTAATTATCTATTGAATTATTCTATTTGTTAATATCGAAATGATTTCAATTAACTTTTGACGTCATGATGCTATTCAAGCTTTTGTTTCTATTGCATAATTTTTTCTTGAATAACTTCTGTAATTATACTATTACTAGTAATTCTGTGTATCCTACACACGTGCTTAGAGCCTGTTTGGTGAATCGCATAGATTAATGTAGTACAGTGAAATCCTGAATAGATATTTTTCGAAAAGATTTTTACCAATGTTGGATTGGGAGAGTGGATTCATTTTCTTTGACATGAATCTTTGAAGAAATCCTTATGTTATTTCAATATGATATATAAATTAAGGGTCATATATTTTTTGTGGGCATTCAACCATTCAATAAGGATATAACAGGTTTTAGAAGACTGAACGACTAGACAAAGGCATGAGATGTCTGTGAAGTCATTAACTTTTAGATTAATTCCTGTAGGTAAGTACAGACAAATTTGTTGGGGTCGTAGCGATTATCGTAATCAGTGCTTAAAGATATTGGGTGACTTAGCTCAAAAACAATGGCAATAGAGCGGGTGCATTCATTCTTTGCCTTCCCTTAGATCATGAGTTTTAAAACTATCTTTTACTTTCTATTTCCTGGGTTTATACTTCTTAAATCATATTCTTAATGCATAATCTTTTCTACTACAGTTGATATTGTCATTACTTTTACTACCCTGTGATTGTTTATTAATTTCATCTCACTGCTAATATAACGTCTCAACATGAATTGGTGCAGATATGTCCCAGTTTCTGTTCCTTATAACTGACCAATTAATTTGGCTGTCATTCCTAACTTTCAATTGTCATTAACTATTCTCTCACCATATTTCTCATGTCTAGGTCTCCACTACAGTTGGCATTCATATTATCTCATCTTTGTTCCCCATCTTGTTAATTTTGCCTATCGTTATGCTGACGTAAGGTGCGGAATATGGATCGAACCTATGCACGTTCGTACCAGATCCTACGTTTACTATGGTTATCTGCCGAACTATATATATTGATGGTGCATGTGAAACTAGTGTTATCCGCAAATCTCATAATAGATCCATGACGACTAGATTCCAAATCGGCTTTGTTGCTTGACCTGTTTTTTCGTCACTCATCAGCTAGATCTCCAGTAGTACCATAGACTTACGAACCACATCTCAATAATATGTCGATCCAAAACGTTCAGTATCATTGCATTGTAAAATATATCAGGACAAAAAGAATCTGTTAGTTTGAAGGATTTCTGAAAATTTGTCTCCATAGATATTTTCGTGCCATTAAAGATAATGATAATCAAGTTCCCACTAGTGAATAGCTTTTCAATGGGTCCTTTGAATTCCAGTAAGAAATTGTAAGTAGTATAGTTGAACCTGAGACATCTCACTGATAACAGTGGGTAATGATCATGTAGTACCGCGAATTGATTGGATTTGGAAATGTGGTACATTGAGTTTCAGGTAAGCGATTTGAAGTTAATCAGGAATACTCACTTCACAATGGGCTCAAGGGTGGATACTTTCATGGATTCCTAGAATCATGCTGACATCAGTTACTCTCTGATTTTCGATGACTGTCTAGTTAGAGAATCTGTCCTGTTTATTTCCATCACCCGTTTTCTATTTTTCTTTCTTGCGAAATAGGTTTGGTTAGTTGGTGAAAAAGCAAAGGATACAGTTTTTCATTTCTGTGATATTTGTGATTTACCGATTGTAATCTATGGACGTTTGGTAGGTGGATCTATTTTGTCAATAATGTGCTTTTTTCTCCAAAATAGCTACCTTGTAAGCATGTATTGTGTTATACATGTGCTATGAATCTTATGAAGAAATGTAATAGGTGAGTTGATTTGCGCTTATGTCTGTCCTTCACATACGTCGGTAGTTTTTTAAATTCTTTTGACTAACAAGTGTAAGTAAACACAGACTTTCAGATATTGTTTTGGCTATTTATGGAACAGAGCAGGTAGATCATTTTCCTCATAATTATACAATACCATATATATATGTTAGCTGGGGTACTACTTAAGGGCCTAATCAGAGGCCGAGTGTTGTAGCATGCGGCTGAGGTAATATACGGAGTTAGATAGAAGATTTATGCTCATAGCATTTTCGCACGGTCAAATCGGATAGAGATCACGGCACCTCAAAATCTCTTAACTAATCTAACCAGTAGTGTTTAAGTAGAAAGCTTTCACGTGGTTTATATACTCCATTGATCGGTCACACTGATAACTATTCAATGAGTAATTAATCTAGTTATTTCTATTTATCTATACAGTGTATTCTTAGTAATTTAATGTGTATATTTCTCTAATTAGATGTCAAAAGTCTATACAAACTGTGGAACGATGTTTAGTCGGAGGAATATTCATGTGCTTTGAAAGTGATGGTTGCCGGCGTACTTATCTCAGTCATCGTGATCTTCAAGCCCATATTGACCATCGACATCGTACTGGGTCAACTGCAATTACTTCGGTCGCTAATAATAGCAGTAGTAATAATGTAAATAGTACGATGATAACTAAAAACGATATTGTCACACATTCGGAAATAATTACACCTTTGCCAAACCAAGTCAATTTTACGGAAGAGGCGTCTCTACTTTCCGGCGTTGTAAAAACTATAACAACAAATGCTAATCAAGTGACCACACCTTTATCCATAGATAAGACAACGACTGGTGCGCCTCCTCCAATGTCTTTGTTAGGTCCATCACCAAGGTTAGTTATGAATACTATGATTCCACCAACTTGTGGAACAACTCAACCGAATATTTATATTAATAATCAGAAAAACAGTGGTCTTTTACCATTACCTCCTGCACAGACTTCATCCTCAACAATTTTTTCAAATCGACTTCCTATGGGAATACCTCGACCGCTTAGACTAAACAACCTGAATAGTAGTTGTAATACTACTACTAACAATAATAATAACAGTAATAACACTGTTACTAATAATTTTCCTCAACTTCAACAGTTCACAAACTGTCCTCCGCCTACACTTCCACCTCCACCATCTATCGGAGCACCGAATATTCGTGCACCACCACCAGGACCACTACAACAAGCACCACCACCATCTGCATTTCTTGCTAATTCACTCTCCATTCCGTCATCGTCGTCTGCACAGCATAATCAGAACTTTAGTGGCGCTTCAGCTGTTGCTGCTTTAGCTGCTGTTGTCTCAGCGGCGATGTCAGCAGCAGCAGCTGTCCAGTCGAAATCTGCTGGAATGACAGTAGTTGGTGGTACAAATAATCTATCTGGTGCAACGATTCAACAATCTTTGACTAGTAATCAAATGCAGGTAATTATGTATAAATATTTTATTCGTTCATTTTACTAATCACTTATTTTGACCCATATCATCGTTTGTCGGTTGAATTCATATGAGATTGAACTCATTTAGAGTCGTATTGAAAATTAGCGAACCAACTATTTCGTCCTAGTATTCGCCTCCTTGGCAGCACGGACTCACGATATCACCAGGGATGATAAAAAGGACCTACAGGTTTCATGGCTAACACTTAGCCACTAAAATACGACCTACGTTTCAACCAGTCTACATACAATCCACGGAGCTATTGTCTTCATTATATTTAGTGGTAATTTTCATAATAAACTGGGGTTAGGCGTAAAAATAACATTGAAAATGACAGGGAAGGTGTTTTTTTAAATCCAGGATGTTTTTACGCATTTGACCTTAATCATAGTTGAACCTGAAACTTCTCTCTTATCTAATCATTTAATGAAATTCAGCCTTTGAAAACTGAAGATATTTGTGCAGTGTTAGTATTTAAATAGCAGATATATTTTCGAAGCATTGTTTGGCTATGGTGTAATGTTGAAGTGATAGGCTAGATAGTGAATATTAATTATCGGTTAGTTGATGAAACTGTGAAATTCCATCGACATAAGTTGTTGGCCATAAGTAGCATATATAACAATTGTTCTTTTTTAAGGTAAATACGACCGATTAATTTTCTTTCTCCACACAATTTCAGTAACACGAAAGAATTTTTACTTTCAGGAGTGCTGTTGTATTGTTATTATCAACAGGGAATTATTTTTAAGTGAGTTGAATTTGTTAGTTAAGAAAATTGGGTAAAGGATCAGCTGAGACAATTTATAAGCTATAAATTTTACATAAATAGACTGTAGTGTATAAGGTTAGGTTTATTTGTAGATCATCAAACAGAAGAGTTACATTATTCAGTGAAAAGTTATTGAATATTAGATCGAATGTCATTGATATCTGCTTATTGATAATTAAAAAGTATTTAGTTCTCACCTAGTAGATTACAATTTTGAACACTGTTTCGCCTACTTTAATTTGACTAGCCCTTAAGTAACGAAAGTGTGATCCAAAGCTTAGTTCTTGGTAAACTTATAAAGCCAACTCAATTGAAATTAAAGCAGTAATTCTTGCATAACATTGGATAATGATCACATCAACTACGTGCTGACAGAATCGAAAAATATGAAGCAATAAATTCCCTTTTAGATCTAGTAATCATCAACTCTGCCCACTATGGTAAAATCATAGGTGTAGATTGGTCAGAAGCAGTAAACAAGGATGGAACATTTGTTCAGTTTTTTTTTAGTTTGACCATTATTAATGATCATAACAATATCCATAACTTGATCTTTATTCATTTATCTAGAGTTTTGAATTTATAAGGTTAACATTTCATGTAATTTATGTATCTCCTGATATGTATTTTCTCAATACTTTTCCTAGCCACCTAATCCATTGAATGCCTCATCATTAATTACAAATGCACTTCGAGCTACTAACCCTAATTGGAATCCATTGGGTACTGGTGTATCGAATGTATTGAATAACAGTAACAATAATAATAATAATAATGCAAATAGTAATAATAATAGTCAGAATAACTTTAACTCAAGATGTTTACCATTTCAATAAGGAAATGTGCTTGTATACATTTGACTGTTACATTAATAAATTTTTTATTATTATCTCAATGTATCTTTGTAACTCAATTTTCAATATTTTTTGTTTAATATAAGACAAACTACTGTGAGTAGTCAAGATTTTTTTATCACAATTATTGTTTCCCATTAAGATTTTATGAACTATTGGCTAGTGCATTTGTTGTAATAGATTCTTGTGTCACATGGAAGTATACCCCAGATGACTATATTTCTGTTCGTTCAGGATTTGCTTAGTGTTTACAAGTAAGGAGGTGGGGGAAGACTAATTCAACCTGTCTAGTCTTAGGAGGAAGAAAACAATGTCACTACGTTTGTGTTATGAAGTTGTAATTGGATTTGTCTAGTCAAATCCCAATAAAAAGGTAGTATGTTACACGGAGATGTTAGTCCATTTGACTTGTACTTATCTTTTTATCGTTAATTTGAATACAGTTTACATACTTAGCTTCAAGTTACAGGAACTGAATTAAGTTGAGTGGGGTTCGAACCCGAGATCTCTGGTTAGAAGCCAAGTGGCTATGTGAATTCAAGTAGGCTACTATTTATCACCAGCTGTAAAACTACCTGAGAATTTAAGGAATTATTTTTAGGTAAACTGCAGGATCATTCTTTTCATAAAGAAAACCATGAAATACATACGACTCTGAAGTAGTTATAATGGGATAATCAATACTTGGATTCAGGTATGTTCAACTGATGAGTCCCAGATTTGACAACATTGCCATTTTAGTATATCCACTAACACGGTTAAAGCATTAGATATTCACTTTTCATTCTCTCAGTTTTGTACGGAACTTCCCTGGTAGACACTGTATACGTGTGACCATGTGAGAGCATTTTGAGTGGTGTAGTGGACTTGTAGTAGCTTAGCTTCGTCAATCAATCACTTATACAACCGCTATCATATAAATTCAAGGCAATACGAAGCGGCGACTACAGTTTATTAACAGATAGCACGGATAACAAAGCTATAAGTACATCGAGCGAGTTTGAAGCAGAGGGCATTCGGGGGCAGCCCCTAAATGCCCTGGTATGGCCGAGAGTGGGGTTGGCCCCCCTCTCGAAATGCTCTCACACGGTTACGCGTCTATAGTCTCTGCTAGGGATGTCCTACTCACCGCCTTCTTGAACCACGGGTGTTGTTTACGAAAATGAGAGGACGAAAAGCGAGTATTCGGGGCTTTCACCGGATTCCAAACCAATGGTGCACATGGCCTCCAGTTTCCTGCGGGAACAAAAGGCGTATGAATCAATTGTTGGTAACCGACTTCCATGGGACTGCATCTCCTTACTATGATCCACTACCTTGTGGATCAGACCTTCAGGTCGAAGGCTCGGGGAGTGGCCTTCTAAGAAAACCGCCTGCTTCGGTTTGGGAAGACGTGAAGTATCACAGCCCTCATACATATCCAATGAGATTTGTGTGGCGCATATGTATTTGGTGCCTCCTTGTACCAATATCTGTGTTAAAATAAGTAAATAAATAAGAAGCAGAGGGGCAAATATATATGTGTATGCGAGCAAATACGTAAGCAAATTTATGGTCAAATCGCATGAGGAGCAGCTAGGCGAGGCAAAGGCTAATATTAGGATCCGAGTACATATATGTATGGAAAAGAGAATGAGTCACCGAGCGATATTTAAGATACTAACATTTAAGAGATATGTGCAATCATTGTAACATGTGGATCAAGTGTACACGTTTATATAGACATGATAGTGATCATAACAGTATAAAGAATAGGTAAATTATTGCTGTCCGAATAACATTGTCTGTTAAATAAGTTAATTAATAGGGCTTGACAGAAGTTAACTACAATCGAAATTGTTTGTAGGAGAGTTGCTGTAGTCTATCTCCACCCTCTATTCTACCAGGGAATTTGGAGGCTATTATTGTTATTAAATATAGTTGGAAGTAAGATCTATCCAACTGTAAACCTGAAAATACTTAGTTTGTCACTGTTATACTATATAATAATTTATATTGAAGAAAACATTATACTTTTGATGGAGTTTTGTTCTCTGAGCTGGATGGCTTGGTCCTAGAGCTTTCTTCGTTCCTCTTAACGACATCATCAGCACAAACTTCAAGTAGAAGTGAAGTGTTCGAATTTTTCTACATGTAGTTCACAGCTTGTCCTGTACACCTCGATGTTGATTGGTTCTTGATGACTTTAAGCTTGTCATTGTTTACTTCATTGTTTTGGTTATATCTCCCATTGGTTTGATTTTTGTTCCTATGTTTGCCCATAATTTTACTGATTGCTTGATAAATTGGGTCGATTTCAATAAGCTTGTTGATTGCTGATTGACCTGAATGTTAAGCTTCTAAAAATTCTCTGGTGTTTTTGAAGTTGCCTCTATCCAAAATTTCCACATTTTCCCAGTCGAATGTGTATCCGTAGTTGTCATAGCATTTAACTACTATATGATGTTCATGCAAGCGAAGATGAAGAGGGCGTTCGGTTTGTCCAATTAAGTGTTTTGTCTTCTTTTGTCATTTCATCCTTTGGCCAAACTATGAACCACATGTGGAGAAATTCGAACACTTCACTTCTATCAGAAGTTTGTGCTGCTGAGGATGTTATTCAGAAGAACATTGAGAGCTCCACGACCAAATCTCCAGCAAAACTTCATTACAAATTATCCATCTTAGTTACGAATCTCCTTCACAGATTATATTTAAATTGGTTGTTATTATTTATTTATTCTATGATTTTTCATTCTATTTACTTCTGTCAATCGGTTTATTATATATGGCTGGATCGATTCATTCTAGATTACATAATTTGAATGTACAAAAGTTTACAGTAATGATGATCAGTTATTCGTATTATTATTATTATTATTATTATTATTATTATTATTATTATTATTATTATTATTATTATTATTATTATTATTATTATTATTATTATTATCAGAAGGGGTTTTTCGGAGATTCCAGAGATTTCAATAGTTGAAATTATGAGTCATTTAAAGCTAGATCACCATAGAAAACCTGGAAGCACTGGATGGCCGTTTCGTCCTAGTATAGGACTCCTCAGCAGTGCACATCCACGACCCTGTCCCCCGCGAGATTCGGACCCAGGATCTATTAGTCTCGCTCGCGAGCGCTTAACCATTAGACCATTGAACCGGCTGGCATTAAACGGTGTTAATGTTCAACAGATAGGTCCTAGGTTTGACTCTCACGAGGGGCGAGGTCGTGGATGAGCACTGCTGGGGAGTACTATACTAGGACGAAACGACCATCCGGTGCTTCCAGGTTTTCTATGATGGTCTAGCTTCAATTGACTCATGATTTCAATTATTTATATTATTATTAAAGTGTATTCATTTAATTAATTGTTGAATCAATGAACCATTTCATTTACTTCAATATCAATATTCTCATTAGTGTAATGATTATTAAATAATAATCTCCATCTTTATCAGTTGGGTTATTTGTTTGTTTTGATAACATGTATTTCCGGTAGTGTAATTAAATAATAAGCATCAATTAAATTCAATTTGATAATGAAATTCTCTATTGTATTGTAATATGGAAATGTATAACTTCCTGTATCACAAAAGTCGCCATAATTACAGTATCTATCTATCTATCTATCTATCTATCTATCTATCTATCTATCTATCTATCTATCTATCTATCTATATATATATATATATATATATATATATATATATATATATATATATATATATATATATATAATTGTATTCATCTTATATTTACATTGGAAATATTGTACTATAATCAGATCAATCTGTACAAGGATTGTGAAATAGTTAATTCTTCTGTTTCAATGATCTGATTGATATGTATATCATTGTTCTGAGTTATTCATTGTAGTACTACTGATATTTAATTAGTAGTAGTAGTAGTTTTTTTTGTGTGGCTTAAATAGGATGTTCTATCCATTAATTTATTGAACTTCAATGCTTCTTAAAAGGATTGTAGTGGCCTACTTTTATCAAGAGAACACGATTGGTTTAATGGAAACAATTATTATTATAACCAATTGTACCAGTGATTGTTTTACTGTATTTGTCTGTTTAACTGTGCTAAAGACAGCTATATTACTGCTCCATTATTCTTCGGTTGACTGTGATCTTGTACGCTCGCACGTTCCCCCATTGATTCCACTTGTATTTCCTTTGGCACGATCTCGGTATACTTTCGATACCACGAGATCACCAACGAATAAATCTGGTTACAATCTCTTTTTGCTTTCTGATTTTCTGGTACGCGCTCATCTTATAGTGATGATCATAGTCAAACGCGACTCGACCCCATACTAAAGGATCATAAGAATGTAGAGCAAATATTCATTCGATCAGATTGTAGATGATATAAACAAATGATTTATTACAAAAAGTTCAGATTAAGATTAAGAGCTAAGAATTGGAATTATAAGTTCGGGTTAGTATGTCGGATTATTAGTTTATGTGTACTTACTTATATACACCTGTTACACCCAATAGAGCATAGGCCGCTGATCAATATTCTCCAACCCACTCTGTCCTTTGCCTTCCATTCTAGTTCTATACAATTGTTGTTCATTCTTCTCATATCTGTCTACATTTTGGTCTTCCTCTTCGTCCCCTTCAGCCTTGAGGATTCCATGTGAGGGCTTGTCTTGTGACGCAGTTGGGTGCTTTCCTCAATATGTGTTCTATCCACTTCCAGCACTTCTTCCTTATTTCCTCCTCCACTGGGATCTGGTTTGTTCTCACACAGTAGGTTGTTGCTGATAGTGTCTGGTCAACGGATCTGAAGTATTTTGTGTAGACAACTGTTAATAAATATTTGTATCTTCTGGATGGTGGTTGTAGTAGTTCTCCAAGTTTCCTCCCCATACAGTAGAACTGTCTTGACATTTGTATTGAAAATCCTGACCTTGGTGTTGGTTAACAGTTGCTTTGGGTTCCAGATGTTCCTCAGTTGTAGATATACTGCTCTTGCTTTGCCGATCCACGCATTCACATCTGCATCAGATCCACCGTGTTCATCGATGATGCTTCCCAGATATGTAAATGTTTTTACATCTTGCAAAGCTTCTCCGTGAAGTGTGATTTCATTTGTGG